CAGCCTTGGGGAAGTGTGTGTGTGTGTGTGTGTGTGTGTATATGTGTGTATATATATTTTAAGACTTATTTATTAGAGAGCATGCATGCACGTGAGCAGGGAGAGGGGCAGAGGGAGAGCATCCTCAAGCCAACTCCCTGCTGCGTGTGGCACCTGTCGTGGGGCTCAATCTCATGACCCACGAGATCATGACCTGAGCCAAAACCAAGAGTTGGGTGCTTAACTGATTGAACCACCCAGGTGCCCCAGGGAGGTATATTCTAAATTGCAATGGATATTTAGGTTAGTGACCATGAAGTTTACACCACCAAGAAAACAGATTTTTCCTTTGTGTGATGTTTTTTGTAAAGCAGTGAAATGGAAAGACTACATTGTAACCTTAAAGCTCCTCAGTTAACTCAAAAGTTCAGTTTTTCATTTCTTTCCCCTTGCCCCATTCCCAGCTGTACAAGCCTTTGCTGCCTGGGAAAAGGATACCACCAGAGAAGAACTTTTTTAGTGCTTTCTTTATGAAAGGGACATAGATCACAAATGTTCTTCTAGAAGACAAGCCTGAAAGTTAAATTGTACTTTGTTTAAAAAAAAAGGGATAATTTCAGGTTGAAAAGTTCAGAAACATTTAAAATTATTTTGACGTCATGCATATGTTAAAACAGTATTAAAAAATTTCCAGGTTGGATTCCTGCCTTGACCCCTTAGTGATCTTGGTGAAATTATTTAATCCCTGGAGGTGACAGGGATGATCCTGCAAGCTTTTGGGGTTCTTGTGCCCCAGGTAGCCTTGGCACACAGCAGTTCGGGGCACCTTAGATCTTCTCCCTCCCTCTGTGTGTCCATCTACTTTAGGTATCAAAAAAATAGCAAATTCCTGTAAATTATGCAATTTATTATTATTATTTTTTAAAGATTTTATTTATTTGAGAGAGAGCACGAATGAGAGAACACAAGCAGGGGAAGCGGCGGAGGGAAGGGGGAGAAGCAGACTCCCCACTGAGCAGGGAGGCTGATGTGGGGCTTGATCCTAGGGTTCTAGGATCACAACCTGAGCTGAAGGCAGATGCTTAACTGAGTAAGCCACTCAGGGGCCCCTAAATTATGCAATTTAAACTATACCTAATGCTATTCATTTTTTTCCTGAAAGTTTCTGTAAATTTGCCAGCTAAAATCTTACTAGGTTTGTTGTGAATAATCATATAATTTACGGAAAAATTCAGCAGGGACTGGTTTAATTTTACTTGCACGCTGAGCTGGAGTAGAAGAGTTACACATTTATAAGGGCGAGGAGAGCGCCTACTCAAATGAGGGAAAAAAATGTGTGGTTTAAGCCTGTTCGTTTTTTAACTTAAATGGAGCAGTGTATAATGAAGCAAGATTTTGCCAAGAGTCGCTAGGTACAATTACCATGGTGTATTTTGGTCACAGAACGTGATTGAGGCTCGGGAGTGCTATTATTTTCACTAGGATTATTTTATTTTATTTTTTATTTTATTTTATTATTTTAAAGATTTTATTTATTTATTTGACAGAGAGATAGTGAGAGAGGGAACACAAGCAGGGGGAGTGGGAGAGGGAGAAGCAGGCCTCCCGCGGAGCAGGGAGCCCGATGCGGGGCTCGATCCCAGAACCCTGGGATCATGACCTGAGCCGAAGGCAGACACTTAACGACTGAGCCACCCAGGCACCCCTAGGATTATTTTATTTTAAACTATATTCTGTAGTTTTGCTTGAAAAGGTGTTTAAAACAAACAAACAAACAAACTCAAACCCTGAAATATTTTCAGTTTCTGTGATGGCCCAAATGTAGCTGGGCCTCTCAACTCCCTGACATTCCAGTGACATACCAGTAATATTTGTGGGATTGTTGGTCTCACCACCTCGCTTGTAAACTCCATGCTGTTAAAATTGTCATAAACTCCCTTATTGGTTCTACAAATGGTTCGTATTGGTAATTAGCCCCTCCCTATGCCATCTGAGAAGCCCTTTTGGGGACGGGATCAGATCATACACCTTTTGTTTCCTTCAGAGTCCCAGGACAGAGGGGGACATATGTAGGAGGCTCTCCACATTCACGTTAAATGGTTAGTGGAACTCTTCGTGTCACTTCAGCTGAGTTTCTGCCAGCACTAAGAACATTTTCCTCCTTTGCCAGGGCTGCCCCCGCACTGATTTTTTTTTTTTTTAAAGATTTTTTTTATTTGACACAGAGAGAGCAACAGCGAGAGCAGGAACACAAGCAGGGCGAGTGGGAGAGGGAGAAGGAGAAGCAGGCTTCCCGCTGAGCAGGGAGCCCGATGCGGGGCTCGATCCCAGGACCCTGGGATCATGACCTGAGCCGAAGGCAGATGCTTAAGGACTGAGCCACCCAGGCGCCCCCCCGCACTGATTTTTGAGGTGTGGACTACTGTGGGCTCCTTCTCCAGACCGTTCCTCAGGTATCCCTGGGAGGTGGCTCACACCGTGGTACTTCTGGGACAGCAGGGGGGTGGGGGGGTGGTGATGGGCTAACGAGTGTCAACATCTCCCCAGCTTCTCCTCCTCTCCCACCTCCCCCTTCTCTAAACTTTGTCCCTGATACCAGTGGTCAGGCCCTGCTGCCCTTGATCAGTTTTTCCTGAACAAGCTGGGGTCTTTCTGCATTCAGTCACTTAGGGACTCAGCACGCCGTCACAGAGTGCCCATGTCTTAGAAACTGCTTTTCTGTTCCTTGGAAGGCCCTTCTTTTCTGTTTTCATCTAACAGGATGCCACTCATCCTTCAAGACTCAGGTCTTCAGTTAACATTTTTGGGGCGTAATTTTTTTTTTTTTTTAAGATTTTATTTATTTGAGAGAGAGTGAGAGAGCACAAGCAGGGATGGGGGTGGTGCAGAGGGAGAGGGAGAAGCAGACTCCCCACTGAGCAGGGATCCTGACACGGAGGCTCGATCCCAGGACCCTGAGACCATGACCTGAGCCAGACAGGTGCTTAACCAACTGAGCCACACACACGCCCCTGGTGGTAATTTTTAACTTTCCTCTGAAGAATTTGAACATCCAGTGAAAGTTTCTCTTAAGTTGTAGAATGAAGGAGAGTGAGGACCATGTGCCCAGCTTATGCGGCCCAGGACTGCATGCTGACCATGGTTGCCCCTCATCTCCTCCTTTAGCTCAAGTGTTTGCCTGCGGCAGTGATTGAGCAAATATTTTGAGACTCTCTAGACTTTGTTTGTCCTTGGGTCTTCCTAAAACAGATGTGCCATTCAGCTGTTAGTTGTGGTTTTGTAAGTCATTGTTTTTCACACTTTTTTTTTTGGTCATGAAGATATGATTGTTCTTCACAACTCGGTATACAGGCAAACATACAAGCACACACGCGAATTTAATTTCATAAAACAGTTTTTACCTTTACTGGGATGCACTTCTCTATTTTCTCTCCTATTTTATTCTATACTCTGCTCTCTTTCTATTCTGTTCTTTTAAAAATACTGATCACTGATTCATTACATGAATTTCATGACCCACAGTTGAACAAACATTTCTAAAGCAATGCTGCAGATGTTAGAATTTGTTATAAAACAGGTGTAAGTGAGGAGACCCTCCTTGTGATAAATTGGCTTCCTTAGGAGATGAACGGTGCTAAAGCCAGGCTATTGTTTCTGTGGAATTTATTACCCCCTCCCTGCCTAACACCAGCCATGCTTGTCCTCGGCATTCCGAGGTGCAGATTGGTTTGTCCATTCGTCTGTGAATGTGCCTTTGGAAGGCGTCCTGCTGAAGGGAAAGAACTAACTGATAGGGCTCCACAATGGATGTTTAGCTTTTGAGGCCTTAGCAGCAGCTTGCTTTCTGCCCACTTTATTTGTAAGGATCACTTTTCCTAAGCACTGTTCCCGTGGAGACCAGATGCTCCTTTCGCCTGCTTCCTTTACAAATTGGGTTCAAGTCTTCTTGTGATTAGCAGTGAGCCTCTTTGAGTCATGGCATTCAGTTCTCAAATTCTGACTGTAGTTCATTGACTCAGATTGAGAGAAGCAGGTTTGGGCACTACTTAAAGCGTTTATTACTAAGTTTGGATCCTGGCAGAGATGAATGCATTTGTTTCCGATTTTTTGGCATATTCTTGTATTATAGCCGTTTTAATAAGACAGGCAGTAAAACTTGAAGGCAGGGTTTCTCAGCCTCAACACTATTGACACATTGGGCCAGGGAACACATGGGGGCCATCCTGTGGCCCGTGGACTGCATTCCACCCACCAGATGCCCTGACTCCAGTTGTGACAATTGGAAATGTCTCCAGATGCTACCAAATGTCCCCATGGGGCCAAAATTGACGTGGTGCTGAGAGTGACTGTTTTAAAGTCATACCAGTTGTTCAATGAGCAGTTAGGTTATTTTCGTCCATTTTCTGTCATGAGTGTCTAATAACATAAGTACATGGCTTGTGTCACTGTTTTTGTTGACATTTGGCAGACCTCTGACACATGATGCTGTTATAATTCGGAGAATTGATAAAAATCAGAAGAGTGCTAACAGAACTTGGAAGATTTATTGTATATAAACATAATAATTAACATAATTAATAGTTAATAAGATGTCTGGAACAACACACTGTCCTAAGATTTGATATCATAGTATACAGAATTAGACTTATAACTAAAAATTAGTGATAGTACTGTAGATTTGTGCTGTGTTTCCTAGTTTCTTAGGTGGTTTCATGTATATTTCCACACCTAGTCCTCACTCTGTGAGGTAAGTAGGGTAGATATTTTTATCCTCAAGTTGTAAGTGGGGGAAATGAGATTCAGAGAGTGTAAGTAATTTGCCCAAAGACTTGTGCCATTTAAGAGATGGAAACAGGTCTTAAACTCAAGTTCTCTGACACAAACCAGAGTAGGATTCTGAGATTTTTCTTTTTAATGATTGAGGTTCCCCCTCTCCAACCTCGTACCCCCCAAATAAAGGAAACCAAGTAGATACTGTTACAGTTAATGATGACTAGTCCTATTCTCATCTTTTTTCTTAGTTCTTATCACCGTCTGGAATGTTGGCCTTGGACAAGGATGAGGCTCCTATTTCAGTATGAAAATCTCGCTGGAATTCTATGAGAAGCCTTGTTGGTGTCTAATGGTGGTAGAACCTGAGTTTCCCTCACCACCTTGCCCAGCCATAAATCTGCTTTTGTGCAGTGTCCCCATGCCTCCGTTGTGCTTGCTGTCCCCGTTCAGCCCCGGTCCTCCTCACAGAACCATCTGGCCCCTGGAAGGTTGCTTCTTATTCCCTTTGAGTCGCTCCTTCTGAGCAGCCGGCCTGGGGCCAGAGACAAAGCAGTCTTTCCTCTGCTGTAAACTCTACACTACACGGAAATGGAGACTTTGGGAATCTAACACATCAGTTCAAGCCTGAGCTCGAGGCAAATGAAGAAAAGGTAAATCTTGCATTTCCCCTTGAAAGATGTTTTGCTATGGATTTCAGTAGGTCCCAGTGGTTGTTGGGATTGTGGTGACATATTTGTGGATTCCTTCACATTGTTGGACATTTCTGGGGGTGGTCATTGATCACAGTTTTTTTTTTTTTAATATTTATTTATTTGACAGAGAGATAGCGAGAGTAGGAACACAAGCCGGGGGAGTGGGAGAGGGAGAAGCAGGCTTCCCGCGGAGCAAGGAGCCCGATGTGGGGCCCGATCCCAGGACCCTGGGATCACGACCTGAGCTGAAGGCAGACGCTTAACGACTGAGCCACCCAGGCGCCCCCATTGATCACAGTTTTAACAAGAACAGACATCATTCTTATTTGTGATTTTAGCTTAAAAAGCTACATAGCACATTAATATAATTGGGAATTGGAAGGGAATGCAAAAAACAAAAGAGAAGGACTTTTTTTTTTCTTTTAGGTTCATGAGATTGTGGTCCATTTTTAAAAATTGTGATATTTTATTATCCAATAAATAAAAGAATTATTATAAAAAAGTGTTTATGCAACATGCAGTATTTGTTCAGTCCATACAATCTTTGCAGTGTATCCTTTATCCAGAATGACTTCACTAAATTCTCTGTCAGCTGTGGGTCTGGATGCATATTTGCATACCTTAGTAACATCAGTTGTAGGTTAGCATACCTAATATGTGTTACTACATGGTAGCATTCCTGTTACGGATTATTACAGGTTAGTGTACCTAATATGTATTTTTTTCTACTTAAAGACACTGGGGGCTTTGAACTATGTCTTCTCTTTTTAAAAAAAGTTCACAGGGAATCTGTTGTTTCAGTATTTTCAGCCCCTTCTCTATCAACAAAAAAGTTTTTAACTACCATAAAATTCCCTTAGTAAAGGAGTCAGGGGTGCTGAACACTTGGCCTATTTATTCTCTTTTTTTCCAGACAAAAATCATAGCTGAAGCCTGACTGATAATATCTGTTCAGTTTTGCCATACTCTTCAGGGATAATTGTTTCCCTCAGAGATTACCCTTCCTGTCAATAAATGCCTCATAAATATTGAATAAACTCTTCTCGTTCTAGTTTAAGGCTGGTTTTCTCCTGCCGGGATTGGCTGGAGATGTTGAACGGCTGGTAGGCATTCCCATAGGCAACAGTGCACATTGCTCTCCGCCTCTGTCATCCCCCGTCTGCTTTTCCCTGAGGAGTGTTGTGTTCATGATCGAAACATGTCCTCGTGGGCATATATGTCGGTCTTTTGGCCAGACCCAGTTGGGAATGATTCCTGCTCTCAGTCTGTGGTCGAGTCAACCTTCTACTGTGCGAAGTTGGTTCATTTAGTTCAACAGGTGTGTACTGAATGAGCCCCAAGTTTGCAGGCCTTGGGTGGACAGTGTCTGGAAAGGGACAGGGTCCAGGGCTATGTTTTTGAAATATAACATGACATGAAAGTTAAGCTACTTGATTTCAAAAGTAGTAAGAAGAGTTGAGGTTATAATCTGCTGCTGGGGACTGAGCTTCACCCTGGAGCCATTCTGTGGCTTTGATTCCTGGTCTTTGTGCGTCCTTGAGCAGTTGACAAAGGGGGCCTCTCAGTGGTCTTGCCAGTGCCAGTGATATTGGAGAGCTTGGCGTGAGCGCCGTGTGTGCTGGTCTTTGGGCATGTGGCCTTCAGGTCACAAGGGCCTGACAGAGTAGGCGGCTGTGGGTGAGTGACCGTGGAGCCTTTCACCTTTGGGGTCATCACCGGGCCTTGGTCTTGAGCAAAGTAAACAAGCACAAGAGAGAGGCTCCTTGCTATCTGTTCATGGGAGAGGTCTCCCTGGCAGCTTCCAGGAGCGACTCTGGCCACTTCGAGTTCAAGATGTAGTGGAGAAAATACAACTCAGATTTTGAGCTTTTATTTTTAATTTTTTTTTTTTTTTATAGATTTCATTTATTAGAGAGTGAGAGAGAGCGCACACAGGCAGGCAGGGGGACAGGCAGAGGGAGAAGCAGGATCCCCACTGAGCAGGCAGCCCGATGCATGGCTCAATCCCAGGACCCCAGGATCATGACCTGAACCGAAGGCAGACCCTTAACCAACTGAGCCATCCAGGCGCCCCAGATTTTGAACTTTTAAAAGGTGGGGTTCTTGGGGCACCTGAGTGGCTCAGTCGGTTACGTGTCTGACTCTTGATTTTGGCTCAGGTCATGATCTCATGGTCGTTAGATTGAGCCCCGTGTCGGGCTCTGCCCTGAGCGTGGAGCCTGCTTAGGATTTTCTCTCTCTTTCTCCTTCTGCCCCTCCCCCTTTCTAAGAAAAAAAGGTGGGGTTCTTGTGATCCAGTTCCGGGGTCAGAGTGGTCACGGGGGCCATGTTTCAGCGACATCTCACCCAGCGGCTATTCCCTCTTTTAGATACGTGTGTGAGGGCCCACCGAACGAGAAGTGGTCGGTAGTGTAGCAGGTGCCGTTTCAGGCCCCGTGAGTGAGATGCTCGTAGACCCTCCTGCTACTGCCAAAGTGAAAGATCACTTTGACATCCCCCCTCTCCGCCCCCCAATTTAAAATATACATGTGAGAGTAGACAGTAGTCTCAGGCAGACTTGTGTCTTTGGCCTTATTGGAGAAACTTAGGGCTGGTGCTTCATTAAATAACCCTCCAGAGAAGCCGTACAGATGGCCAGCAAGCACATGAAAGGACGGTCAGCAGCACTGGTCGTTAGAGAAGGTGCACACTGGAGCTGCAGGAGGGGTCCCGTCCTGCGTGTCGACGGCCACCGTCAAACACCCAGACGACGACGTGTGCTGGTAAGAGTGTGGAGAAACAGGAATCCTGCACACCGTTGGTGGTACAGTGGTGCAGCTACTACGGAAAACAGCGTGCTGGTTCGTAAAAAATTAAACACAGAGGGGCGCCTGGGTGGCTCAGTCGTTAAGCGTCTGCCTTCGGCTCAGGTCATGATCTCAGGGTCCTGGGATCGAGCCCCGCATCGGGCTCCCCGCTCCGCGGGAAGCCTGCTTCTCCCTCTCCCCCTCCCCCTGCTTGTGTTCCCTCTCTCGCTGTGTCTCTCTCTGTCAAATAATAAATAAATAAAATCTTAAAAAAAAAAAATTAAACACAGAATTACCGTAGGAGCCAGCAGTTCCGGTCCTGGGTGTATACCCCAAAGGACTGAAAGCGGGGTCTCAGAAGTTTGTGTACCCCTGTTCATAGCAGCAGCATTCACAGGGGCCAGCAGGTGGAAAGCAGTCTGGGGGTGCACTGGTGGGTAAGTAGATGAACGAAATGGGGTGTATACATGCAATGCAATATGCCTCAGCTTTGAAAAGGAAGGAAATTCTGACGTAAGCTACAACATGGGTGAGCTTTGAAGTCATTCTGCTGAGGGAAGTAGGCCCGTCACAAGAAGACCAATGCTGTGTGATTCTAGTTACATGAGCTACCTTGAGTATCAAATTCATGGAGACGGAAAATAGAATGGTGGGTGCCGGGGCTCTGGGGAGGGGGGTGGGAAGATTTAGTTTTGTGAGGTTAAGAGTTCTGGAGATCGGCTGCAGAACCATACGAATGGACTTAACTACAAACTGTGCACTATAAAGCAGTGAAGATGGTCAGTTTTACGCGATGTGTATTTTAACACAAATAATTTTTTCTTTTGAATGGGAAAAAAAAGTCACAATTGAACGCCCACTGCTCCGCTCTCTCGGTCTGCAGGGAACATTGAGGCTTTGTGTTCGGGAGTGAACACCGCCAGATGGCAGCACCCCCAGCCTGTCATCCCACCCTCCAAGGTGGGTCTCCTGCTCCTGCCTCTTGTGCAGAAAAGCCCAAACCTATGCAGGAGAGGAACTTTTAATCTCCTTTAGGGGGCCAACCTCTATAAGGGAAGTTACTTTGTCCAAGGACTGTTTCACTGCGATTCTACATTTTGTTTTTACTGCTGAGTCAGATAGAGAACAATGCACGGTTGTCCTGTCAGGATGATGCTCCTGCCGTCCCATCAGCGTGCAGAGTCTGCAAGTTGTTTTCCTACTGGTGGTGACAGATGAGCTGTGACTCATGCCAGCCCCGTCACCTGCCCTCCCCTGAAACAAAGACACGCATTTGCCTACTGAGCGTGTGTTGAGTTAATGGCCTTTACAAGATTGGATGGGCAGTTCTAGCTTCCTTTATATCTTCCAACACCTCTGATGAATCAAGCAATTCACAGACATTTCATTTATTATCCTGACACTGATTCTGGACACTGGTGGTTTCTTCATATCATTTACACGAAACCTTTGTTTTTACCTTTTGGGAGCTTGGTGTAAAATGCTTGACAGTTTTCTGGTATTTCTGTTTTTCAGGATCATTTCATGGACTCACTTGCCATACTTGTTAACCATGCTGCCTTGTTCTAGGACCCCGTAAAGCCTACTGACTGTTAATCTTCCTCCGAGCACAGACTAGAACTTCAGGTAACTCCAGCTCCCATGAGTTGTGGTTCACTTCAAGGGGCACGACTGTGATCAAGGTAATAAGTTTGTTCGATCTGGTTATTTTTGTTTTAAAATGTGTTTGCTAACTCCCACCAAAGAAAAGTCAATCCATTTGACTTTTGTTCGTGGCTGTACATTCTTAGGTGTAAAAGAAGTAAAATTAAAAACCTACTAAATATATTTTGAAGTGGAACTGGAAACGTGACCTCCAACTTGCCTCAAATAGTGATCTACTGGTTAGAGTGAAAAACAGAGGGGGAAGGTTTGGCTCAAATTTCGACTTGCGTGTTTGGCTTAACTAACAGACTCATTGAACACATTGGGATTTTACAGAGAATGAATAGAATCTAAAGTTTTTTCAGACATCCACATTCTGATAAGTCAGCTTCCAACTTTATTCCTCATCATGTTCTAAAATGAGGACCCTCAAAGGCTTTAGAGAGGCACTAGAGATTAGTTTTATTAAAATGTTTTTCTGCCCCAAATGAGAGCTTTTATTCTCTACTCTCCCCTGTTTTTATCTCAACCTAGTTTTGGGGGACTCCTTTTGTGGTGTTCCTACTCTGTGTGATATATCAAAGCCCCAACAGAGTGTGGTACCTGAACTCATGTTATTAAAAATGGGCAGTAGTCTCTTCTATTGGGGTGTGGTATTTGCTCTTCTAGTAGTTTGTGTATAATGGAAATCACTCTCTCTGATCACTGAAGAATCAGTGTATCGGAGTGCCAGAGCAAGGATGTTTTTCCCTCATGTTTCTGTTCAAGGGTCATTCAGAACCTCTCAGCACCAAGCCTAAAGGAGGTCTCTGCCTTAAGCTGACCTTTATGCCTGTTCAATGTCTGAATTAATATCCTACAACAGATTATGTGCTTAACGCAACGAGCACACAGGCATGCAGTATCGTTTATTTGGTTGATGACCTGCATGGCCTGAAGAGAACCAATTCAGTAGGTAACTTTTGTCCCTACTTCTCTGAGTTGGATGAGGCACAGGGAAAAAAAAAAAAAAAAGTTGCTTGGTTCTTTTGTAATGTGTGGAACTTTTTTTTCTTTTTTGTTTTTTAGACAGTTCTGTCATAACGGAATTAACTTAGGTCACGTTTCTTACTGATGCTAGCTACTGTTCTTAATTTAGGTTAAAATGGGGAACTCTGAAAGCCAGTACACCCTTCAAGGATCTAAAAATCATAGCAATACCATCACTGGTGCTAAGCAAAAGCCTTGCTCCCTGAAGATACGCAGCGTTCATGCGAAGGACGACAAGTCACTGCACGGATGCGGGCACGGAGGCAGCGGAGCGGGTTACAGGTCCAGGTCCCTGGCCCGGAGCTGCCTTTCTCACTTTAAGAGCCATCAGCCGTACGCGTCCCGACTGGGCGGGCCCACAGGCAAAGTCCCCAAAAGCAGTGCCTACGCCAGGCCCAGGACGGACGCCTCGGGAAGCGGTTTCCAGAGCCCCAGCACGGCCCTCCCCGCGGGGAACGGCTTCCACGCTGCCGGCCACGGGCGGCCGGACGCCCTGGTGGCCTCGAGGGAGCGCAGGGGACACCTCCGCAACTGCCGCGGGAGGGACGGGAGCGCGGCGGCCGGGCCGTGCGCCGAGGACCGCAAGAGCCCCCGGGTGCTCATCAAGACGCTGGGGAGGCTGGACGGCTGTCTGCGGGTCGAGTTCCACAGCGGCGGCCTGCAGGGCGGAGGGCCCCCCGGGGGCGCGGGCGGCCCCGTGCGGCTGCTGCGCTACTCGCCCACCTTGGGCCCCGGGCCCGACTCGCCCCCGCACTCGCGCCCGCGCTCCAGCAAGGGCAGCTCCCTGAGCTCCGAGTCCTCCTGGTACGACTGCCCCTGGGGCGCCGCGGGCGAGGCCGGCGAGGCCGGCGAGGCCGAGGGCTCCCTGCTGGTGCCCGGCACGCCCGCCCCCCGCCTCTGCGCCGACTTCCCGCCGCCCGGGGCCCCAAAGCCGTTCAACCAAAGCTCGTCCCTGGGCTCGCTCCGGGAGCTCTACCGCGACCCCAGCCCGGCGCCCTCGGGCCTGCGGCTGTCGGGCGAGTTCGTGGGCGCGCACGCCGGCCTCAGCCACCGCGTGTCCTTCGCCTCGGACATGGACGTGCCGTCCCGGGTGGAGCGCAGGGACCCCGGCCCGTACTCGTCCTTCACCCTCCCCTGCCGCAAGGCCAAGGCCTTGAGCGAGGACCCCTCCAAGAAGGACACGCTCAAAGCCCGCATGCGCCGCATCAGCGACTGGACGGGGAGCCTCTCCAGAAAGAAAAGGAAGCTCCAGGTGAGGAAACCTTAGGGTGGGAGGGAAGGTTCCCTCGAGCTGCCTGGTCTGTTCGATGGGAGTGTTGCAGGAGCTGCCCCAGCGCTGGCCTGAGGCTAACAGAGCTCAGCAAAGCGAAGGGTTGAGGCTCAGACCAGGCGCCTCTTGTTTGCGGCGGGGGGGGGGGGGGGTGTTTTTTCTCTTTTGCTTCAGGTGTGCACTTTTACTCTTAACCCACAGCTTCACGCTCTCTGATCCTGTGTGAGCTCACCTCCCGTGCTCTGGTGTGAACGCCACAGGCCTCGTCCAAAGGCGTGGCCAGACTGTCCTTAGTAGAGCGTTCCAGAGAATTCCTCAATGAATTGACCATCTGAGAATTTTGCTAGATGTCACTCTTGAAGCCTAAACAGAAAGGGGAGCTAGATCGTTATTTTGGGATGAGTCGCCTTCCTGAACTTGACATCACTTTGGGGAAATTAACATTTTTTTGGTACATCCAAAAAAAAAATTATCTCACCACCTTCCAGTGGGGATAGCAGACAGTTTTGAAAACATCTTGTACCCAAGAACATGTAATAGCAAAAATATAATGCCTGACAAAATAAGAATTGTGATGATGATAATACTTATACAGAATAATGATGTATAAAGTTGTAATGGGGAAACAAAGTGGCTTAGTCACGGGGAGGGAGAGTAATAGGTTGCCTTTTTAGGTAACTAGTGGCAATTGCTAGGCTTTTAGTTGTTTTGCTTGTGACTTTTTTGTTTGTTTCTACTTTTAGTTATTTGTAGAAGGAAGAAAGCTTTTTTTTTTTTCCCTTAGCTTGCACAATATAAGGCACATTATTGAAGAGAATTTGAGTGGGCAGTTTGTCTCTAGTAAAACTGCATTTTATCCATCCTAGATAGATACGTAATTACAAAATTATATAGCAATTTAGGGGTGAACAAGAAGATGACTTCCCTGAGTAGACTGTGTTAGATCTATAAAACTTACCGTTAGTTATTTCCTTCTTATGCATGAGGTACACCACCAGCACCCCTCGCGTGTTGTGCTTTGTTGCCCCTGGCTACCCCTTTACCCAGAGATAAAGAACAGATGATCACCATCCTGCCACGGAACTCTTCATATCCCCGAATGTAGTAATTTGCTGACTCCTTACTCCTCACTTCTTTATACTCTACCATTTACTTTACCTTAGTTTAGCCCCTAATTGATCCTGGCATTGAGCTGGTTATTCCACATCTCTTGTTTGCATAGAGGATGTTTCTCACCTGTCCACGTTTGTGGCCTGGCTCACACACTGCTGTACCGAGTCTCATTCAGGTTCAGTTCGGCTAAAGGCAGACCAGTAGTCACTGTGTATTGACTGCGTTCTGTCCCGTTCAGGCCCTCACTGCCCCCATGGGAGGTGACCTTCAAGTCTGGATCATCCAGAGACTTCGCCCTGAATGGTTTGTAAGCCTGTGGAGTTAAGAACAGACTGGTTATATAATCAAAGAATCCGAACTTGAAAGCTGGAAAGGACTTCCCCTCATTTTAAAAATTAAGAAAGTAAGGCTTAAGGAATTTGAGGGTCCTCCCTGAAGACACATGGCTAGTTGGTGGAGAAGCCAGGACCAAAGTCATTTCTGCTAAACCTCATATGTGAGCTTTTTCCAATTAGACACGTGGCCAAGATATTGTTGATAGCCACTGGTAATTACTTTGGGCCTATTGAATGTTAAAGTAAACGGCTTTGGATTTTTAAACAATGTCCTGTGCAGGCAGCTTTTTAGTTTTGCTTATGTTCCCACAATTGATAATCTATAAAGGTGAGCAAGATGAATTTTTCTGGCAAGTATGCCAGTTTTTTTGGTCATTTTTTTGTTTGTTTGTTTTCCTTTCGTGATTTACAGCAAAGATCAGATTTAGATCCTTAAAAATGTAGTCAGTGCATGGAGCAAAATTTCCAACAGTGTATTTTTTTAAAAAAATTTTTAAAGATTTTATTTATTTATTTGTCAGAGAGAGAGAGAGAGAAAGAGAGAGAGCACAAGCAGGGGGGAGTGGCAGGTGGAGGGAGAGGCAGAAGTAGGCTCTCCGTTGAGCAGGGAGCCTGATTCAGGACTTGATCCCGGGACTCTGGGATCGTGACCTGAGCCGAAGGCAGACGTTTAACCGATTGAGCCACCCAGGCGTCCCGACAGTGTATTTTTTTTAAGAAGATTTTATTTGTCTTAGAGAGTACAAACAGGGGGAGCAGCAGGCAGAGGGAGAAGCAGACTCCTCGCTGAGCAGGGAGCCTGACGTGGGGCTCGATCCGAGGACCCTGGGATCATGACTTGAGCTGAAGGCAGACACTTAACCAACTGAGCCACCCAGGCATCCCTCTGCAAGTGTATTATAATATTGGCACCAAATGAATGCGTATTCTCTCACATGCACACAAACTTCTGTCTGCCGGCAGGGCCAAGGTCCAGAAACCCTTACTATGATGGATAGATTTACTTGTTATGACTTTTAAAAAGTGATATAAAAAGAGCAACCCTTTCTTCTTAGGGCTTTCAACCAGTTGGGTGAGTTAGACCCTAAAAGCAGACACATTAGTGAAAAAACATGCACAACTGAAAAAGAATATCAAACTAATCAGAGAGAGAGAATGTGCTAGAGAGGAGTATGTGTTTGATGCCAATAAACCCTTCCTATTAATGGAGCTGTACTGTGAATCCTTGATCCTCTCCTGGGTGAACTTTCAGTTATATCAGTCAGGGTGGGCTGGGTTATGCTGAGGTAACAGCATAACCTCTCAGATCTCCGAGGTTTAGCGCGAGCAAAGTTTCTTTCTTTCCCATGCTGTCACTCTGGTCTGCATTGTTCCTCTCTGGGACCCCAGGGCCACAGAGCAGTTCCAGCTGGAACACCCCAAGCCATGACAGCAGGAGAAAGAAAATCGTGTGTAAAGCTTCCATGGTTCACTTCTGTTCACATTTATTGGCCAAAGCAAGTCACATGGTCATACCTAACTCGGAGGAAGGGGGAGGGAGAGGGAGAAGGAATGACCCTGCCCTGGGCCCAGGTGGAGGGCCAGGCATATTTGGTGGGCAGCAGTGACAGAGAACATTCAGGATGCAGAGGCCCTGGCCTTTGGGCCCTCTTAATTTTAGACCTCGCGGCTCTTTGAGGACTGCGTGGTCACAGAGAGCTGGTGGTCTCTACTGTGGGATGAAGGAAAAAGGCATGTGAAGAATGTCAGGGTGTGAATTTGATACATTTACCTAGAAAGTGAGGAATGATGATCAGGAATTTTCTTTTAGCTCCCAAGAGTGACTCAACTCTCTTGAGACCCTCTCTCCTCTTTGCTGTAGTGCCCTGGTCATGAAGTCAGATTATCTGTTGCTTAGGATTATCCAGTTGCATGCAGAGAAATGGAAATCAGACTGCTTTGTGTACACGTATAACAAGACTCCTTGGTTTCACACCCATAGCACGGTGATCAGGAAATCTAGCTGAGCTGATTTAGGGATGGATGTCCTTTCCCTCATTCCTGTTAGCCTGAAAATCAGTCACTGGCTATTAGGATTCTCCATAGAAAGCTTTAGAAATGTGTTAGAAACTGGGAAAGGTCATGTCTAAGACTCCGTTACAAATGGTAAAATGCAATATTTTCCCATTTCTTTTTTTTTTTTTTTTTAAGATTTTATTTATTTTTTAGAGAGCGAGAGAGAGGGAAACAGCATGAGAGGGGAGAGGGTCAGAGGGAGAAGCAGGCTCCCCGCTGAGCCGGGAGCCCGATGTGGGCCTCGATCCCAGGACCCTGGGATCATGACCTGAGCCGAAGGCAGATGCTTAACCATCTGAGCCACCCAGGCGCCCTATTTTCTCATTTCTTAACGGAGGAAAATTTGTCATACTTTGCTGTGGTGGAACATTTAAAAGTCAGTGCTACAACTGCAACTGGAAGACTCTCTTACGAGAAACACTGTCAAGAATGTTTATAGGTCACATTTAAGTTTGGCACCTAAGCGTCTTTCTGTGGCAGTTTGGCTTGTTTTGAAACACCCCATTATAGCTTGTGCCGAGGCATCCCAGTGTTTGGGGGCTGTGAGTCCGAGTCATATTCATAGCTGAAATGATGTTAATGCTAGCTAAATGAGAAGTATTCCTTCACCTCTTAGGAGTTTTTGAAGAGCAACAAAGTGACAATTAAAAAAAAAAATCTTACACTGTTTTGAAAGTTTCTTCTCTAAGTGACTCACCACAGCTGGCTTATTTGCTCTGTTCTTGCATAAGCATCTGTGTATAAATAAATACGACTACGGGACATAGTGTAAACGCAAGTGGAGAATGATATTTTTGTTAGTAATAGCTGTGCTTGGGGCTGTAGCCCCTGTTGTTTATAGCCCCTGGGTATTTGGAAGCACTCTCCAGTTGATTTTCCTACAAAAGATAGCAAATACTTGCTACTGGATTTCTGGATGGAATGTCTGGAAGGAAAACCCCTCCACACAGTGGAATATTCAAAATAAGGCCTTTGGTCGGTGGTCCTTGACTCAGTTTCCCCTCATTTTTATTTTAATGGGTAAGGCAATATAATGGAAAGCCTACTAGCAGCTGAGTGGATGTGTGTGCTTAGCACTGCTCTGCAGACTTACCTTAGTCTAAGCTCTAAATTTGGAATGTTAGTGTCTTTTGAGTCTTAAATTAGGCTCACTTTCTGCTGGAAAATGTAGTTACTGATATTTACCAGTGAATGGCCTGTCTGAAAGTTATTCTCAAATAACTAGACCCCTCTAAATGAGGACACAGTCCATGTTTCCAGCTTTCTGCATGGCCACTGACTGTCAGTGCATTGTAGTTTCATAGGGCGCAGCCATTATTATAAAATATTAATTTTATTTAGAGCTGCCTATGTCTGATTTTATGTTGTAGTACGCGTTGAAGTTAAGAATCATGTCTTTGGTATCCCCAATACCTAGAATAAAATAGATGTTCAAATGAAAGGATGTGAGTGAATGAATATATTCTTTTTACAGAAGAAATTCCCAAATTAAGTAAAAAAGCCAGTATTTATGAAAAACAACAGTTACTAGCAAATACTTTTTGTAGACGAAGAATCCCAGGTGCATGGTTTTTACTCTGTGAAGAAGGAAAATAAGATGCTAGAGATCCTCAAGTCTTGATATGGGTGGAGGTAGGGAGAAGCTGGGGACTGACTATTTTGGGCAGAGGAAGAGAAGTTTGCGTAACAACACCTAACAACACCCTAGTTGCTATTCCCTACCCCCCTTGACCCTGTAACTAGAGATTTTCTACTTTAGCTTTAAAAGGATCCAGGAGGAAGACAGACTGCAAGAGCATGAATTCCTTCCAGGAAGACCCTGATTCACAGTTAGCAAAGCAATGTCAGCCTAGAAATCTTCACTGATGTGTTATAAATATGCTAGTTGATTTCTTAATTCTCAGCATAGGTTAGATTTAGGATAGTCAGGAGTATTTTGTTCATATCTTTAAGCATTGACTCCACCCACTGGCTGTAGATTGGGCGGGGCAACGCTCTTTCTCCAGTTCTTTCTGGTTTGGTGACTTGATGATTGAAGATGCATTTTTGTTAAAAGAATCTTGCTTTTCGGCAGCAGCATTAGCAACCACTGGTATGATACATTTGCAGGGTTGGGGAAGGGATGCCTTGGATGTATGTAACCTCTGATGGGTGGTCATCTGCATTGCTCACAGGAACCGAGGTCCAAGGAAGGCAGTGACTACTTTGACAGCCGCTCAGATGGACTGAATGTGGACGCACAGGGGCCCTTCCAGGTGTCTCCTTCACCTTGGTCTGGGGGCTCAGCTCAGATCCTGTCCCAGAGAAGCGAATCTGCTCATGCAATTGGCAGTGATCCCCTCCAACAGAACATTTATGAGAATTTCATGCGGGAGCTAGAAATGAGCAGGACCAACACAGAGAATGTAGAAACGTCCACAGAAACCGCGGACTCCAGCAGCGGGTCCCTCAGCTCTTTGGAGCAACTTGATCTGCTCTTCGAGAAGGAGCAAGGGGTGGTCCGAAAAGCTGGATGGCTGTTCTTCAAACCCCTTGTCACTTTGCAGAAGGAAAGGAAGCTCGAATTGGTGGCCCGGAGGAAGTGGAAACAGTACTGGGTAACACTGAAAGGTCAGTGCATTGTTGACTCAAGGGGGCCACTGGAATCATTTCTTCCAGCTGGCCCCTCTCCTAGGAGGCGCCAGTCAGTCCAGGGTTAATTTGTGTCAATGTGTGAAGGGATTTGAGGGGTGCCTGGGTGGCTCAATTGGTTAAGTGACTGCCTTCGGTTCAGGTCATGATCCCAGGGTCCTGGAATCGAGCCCCACATCGGGCTCCCTGCTGAGCGGGGAGTCTGCTTCTCCCTCTCCCTCTGCCTGCCGCTCACCCTGCTTGTGCTCCCTCTCTGTCAAATAAATAAGTAAATAAATCTTTAAAAAAGTGAAGGGATTTGGTACAAAATCTCCCAGCATGCTTTGCTACAGATACTTTCTCAAACCTGGGTAATATGGCTTATGTAATATTCATATATAGTATTCGTTCTAATACTTAGTGATTGAATTTAATAGTTACAGCTTATCATTTTATAGGTATTTCTGTACCATTCTTTTTTTTTTTTTTTAAAGATTTTATTTATTTATTTGAGACAGAGAGAATGAGAGAGAGAGAGCACATGAGAGGGGGGAGGGTCAGAGGGAGAAGCAGACTCCCTGCCGAGCAGGGAGCCCGATGCGGGACTCGATCCAGGGACTCCAGGATCATGACCTGAGCCGAAGGCAGTTGCTTAACCAACTGAGCCACCCAGGCGCCCCTTCTGTACCATTCTTTAATACTTTTTCTGCATCTGGAGGTAAAAATATTCCAAATAAGTAACCAAATGTAGATCCTGAGTATCCTATTCTTCACAAGTATCCTTCTCAGCTTGTACAACAAAGAACATCGGGATTATCTGATTTGTGTCCTCTGACCTTTGTAAACTAAGAAAGTCTAATTGTTATCATCACAAACAAATGGCTTTTTTTTTTTTTAATGTAAAGGAAATAGGAGTAAGGATTTGTTTTGTTAAGATGATGAAAGTTTCTTCTAGGCATTGCCATTTAAAAATTACAATTGCCTTGCTCATTGCGGATGTATAGATTGGAAGGGATCTAAATGTCCTGAGGAGGAGCGAGGCTCCAGGTCAGCACAGTGTGGATTTATACAGATGTAAAGATGGTTTATACAGATGCAAGCAGGAAGAGCAGCCTCATGGCCTCTGGCACGTCTGCACAATCATCTTGTGACTCAGTCAGAGGAATGGAGTGGTGTTCAAAGCCTAGCCTCATTATTGGGAGACAGCCTTCCCTATCCTGGGGGAAAGCAGAAATGGGAATCCTATCTGCAGACAGTATGTGTGAAAGGGCTGGAGCCCTCCCACAGGGCTCCTTTCTTGCTTTCTTTGCCCACCCCCCCCGCCCCCAGTAGAAATGGTGAGATGCCCCCACCCCAGCCTTGTGGAGCTGGAGCCATTTCATAATAACCCAGAAGCCTGTCTGGGAAAGATGCAGTTTGGAAGGCATTTTGTCTTTAAGGGACACCTTTACCTAGCAAAATGGAGGGTTTATAAAACCCAAGACCCAGTCCTCTTTTCCAGCTTGTGATACATTGTGGTGAGGAAGGCCCAAGAGCTTGCCTCTCGTTTGGGCATCCTGGGGAGGCAGGTTCTTACACCGAATGACGGGCGAGATGTGGAGAGTTGGAATAAGGGGTTGAATCTAGCAAGATACAATTTGAAGGGATAAGTTATGCTCTCAGGTTTAATAATCAAATAACCGTCCAAGTACAGGACAGGGAGATGTGGCTGCCGAGCATTACAAGAAGATCTGGGGGATTGAGCTGTAGGCCATTCCTTAAATTCGTTTCCAATGTGATGAAGTCAAGATAAAAGTAAATGGGATTTAAAAGAGTGGATGTGATCTTCGGCCACCTCATTCCAGCTGTCCTGGGTTCTACGGCCCCAGCGGTCTCTCCTCCCTCTGCCTGGGGTGGAGCTGGCCATTTCTGTGCTTGGGGGCACCACAGTGCAGGAGCCCTGTTAGTTAGCCAGGTGGGGATTCTTGAACAGGTTCGACCTGAAGTATCTCTGACTGGGGGGGAGGGGGGAGTGAAAATGTCTTCTCAGGAGCGCGAGCATCTGGGATTGATTATGAATCACAGTCTGAAGCTGCCTCCTTCTGGCATGTTGTTTGAAAGAGATGTGCTCGACTCCATATGTGATGTGTATCTGGATTATTTTTTTATTGTATTTATTTTTTTATTTTTATTTTTATTTTTATTTTTTAAAGATTTTATTTATTTATTTGAGAGAGAGAGAATGAGAGACAGAGAGCACGAGAGGGAAGAGGGCAGAGGGAGAAGCAGACCCCCTGCTGAGCAGGGAGCCCGATGCGGGACTCGATCCCGGGTCTCCAGGATCATGACCTGAGCCGAAGGCAGTCGCTTAACCAACTGAACCACCCAGGCGCCCTATTGTATTTATTTTTTTAATGTAAAATTTGTTTGTTAAAATGGGTGCTTTGGGAAGTCATTCCCTGCCTGTTTTAATGGCTCTGAATCCCCTCCCCCGGCCCCCCGCCCCACTGCGTCCTGGTGGTGGGGGCTGGTGATGGTTTGTGTTTGTGTGTCTATGTTGGGGCCTAAGAACTGGGGCCATAGGTGACAGCAGGAGGGTTTAGAGCCATGCTATATGGTGTGCATTTAGGAACATTTAGCTTGGAGAAGACAAGGAGTGAGGTGGCAGTGAACAACAGTCTTGTGGAAGGGGCGCTGAATTCTGGTTCCCCAGGGGTTAGGATGGCACCAATAGTTGGGAGGCAACTTGATTCTGAATTAAAAGTACAGCAGTGACCAGAGCCATGAGCAAGTGAAAGGATGCTGTCTTCCTGATTTCTCTGCTCCTGAAGACATCTGTGCAGAGCCAGATGGTGGGAGGCTTCCTGGGGGAGGAGATTCAGGCAGGTTTCCCTTAGAGTTGGAAGAGCCCACCTCCAGGCTCGGGTTTTCCATCCTGGAGGCTACCGCGGGGACTCCTGCTGCTGACTCCCGAGGCAGGGATGGTCCCGAGTGGTCTGGCAGTTCCAGGGTCTGCGCTCTTGCCTGTGCCCTGCTGACTTGGCGCTTGCTCATATAATGGAGACCTACGGAGAAAGGGTGCTTTGTAAGTGTAAATGTTATCAAGCACACATTGCTTCCTTTCCTTTGCAGCCAAGCAAAGTCATACGATAAAGATGTTTTTTTCCAGCATAACCTTTTCCATGTGGCTTTCTATACCTCTTTCCTCTGGGAATTCACTAGGTTGAATTCAACTTTCTTGGCTTAGAATCCAAGTTGCAATGTTTGGACTTAACTATTTGGTTTAATCTTAGATACACACACACACACACACACGTGTATATGTATGTATATACACAAGCAGGTACGTTTAAGCAGAATTTTAAATTCTTCAAGTATTTATCTATGGCATCTGGAGAGAGCAGCTACAAGCCCGCTGTCTGGTTGTACACCTGTGTTGAATGTATAGTGTGCTAAGGCCATAAATGTTTTTTAGGGCTTGGAGGATGTCATACATTTTTAACACAGGTAACTCTGCTTTCCATATGTCTTTTCCGGTGAGTCAGGAGAGGGGTTCCTGCAGTAGTTTGGGGATGCTGGTGGTTCTGCCCTGCGGTAGGGCAGCTGCGGATGGTGTGATGAGTGTGGCTTGGGAGGGTATCAAGGAAAAGGTGGGTTTGAGGGAAGACAAGACCAGTTCTCTTTTTCCCCTGGTGATATTTCTACTGGTACTTCATCTATTTTCGTACTCCCACTGCTGTTCCAGTCTGTTTTCTCTTTCTGCTGCCGTGGCGAGAAGAACTTCCACTAGCAGCCCTCCAGGCCAACACGGGGTCCTGGTGGGGACCGGGCAGGGCTGGTGGCCGCAGCCCTGGGTTGGGGAGTGTGGGGGCAGGAGACGCCACGGACAGGGGTGCTCCCCTCTCCCTCAGCCTTATCGCCCCAGCATTGGAGACACAGATGAGGTTAACTTTGATGTCCTAGATTTACAACTGATTTCCTGTTCTTTAAATTCGATAGCAACAAAATCGTGCATACGGTTTTACATCCTGGCCTGGGTCTAACACGACATGTCCTGTTTTGGTTTTGTGCTGCCACGGTAGATGGGGCGTTCGAGTTGGCGGCATGTTGGCATCTGCCCAAGGTTGTGTTCATTTCCTCTAGATGTCATGACTCAAACCACAGCCGCTGGGCGTACAATGGTAGGGAAGCTGGGAAGTGAATGTTCACCCATCGGAAAGAATTCGGACTGGGCAGAACTGGCATGGGTCTGTCACCTTGACCCTGGCCCTTGGGTCCCCAGGTAATGGCAGGTTTCGTACTCAGCAGCAGTCAGACAGGCCTTTCCTGATGGAAGGATTTGGGGACATTGTTTCTAAGTGCATCAGTGCCTGCAAAAAGAGACTGGCTCAGCTCCGCAGGAGCAGACCTGGCTGGAGACCTCCTGCTGCTTTCCCTTCTTCTGGAAGCCTCTCTTAGCCTTAGCGTGGGTGCCTTTTGTTTGCAGGAAGAAGGGTTGCTAGTGCTTCTTGAGATCGTTAAGTACCGCCGAGGGTTCTGGAAAGTGCTGTCCCGGCGATGCTGTTTCTGAGGGCAGAGCTACCTGCCAGCATCTTGTTCTCCTGGCTTCTGTGCTGCGCTGGATTCCAGGATCTGAACTTATCTGTCCGGATTAAGATGGGTTTTTGAAGGAGGAAGTGAGACTGGCTAGCCTGAAGTAGTTTTTTTTTTTTTTTTTTTAAACATTAGACTTTTATGAGTGAAGACTCCTAACTCAGAGGGGAAACAGTCGTGCAGTGGACCTCATTCATTCGCAGTGCTGCTGAGAGCAGCTGATGCTTCTTTACGATCAGTGTAAGAGGCTGTGCAGAGCAGGGGGATGGGGACCTTATCGGCCATATTTGGATGCTGGGGCTCAGCACATGAGAAGTGCTCAGAAGTGGTGATTGGATGAAGGTTTTTCAACAGGAGAACATACTTGTGAGCATTTTAGAATTTGCTTAAGAACTGCATCTAATAATTAGAGGGCACTCCTATCTAATTATCAAAGTAGATCCTTCATAACTTCTATCTACAATAATTCATTAGCTTATGGGGGAAAGCTATGTATTTGCAAGCATTTTTAGCATCTTATTTATTTATTTGTTTATTTATTTAGATGTAGTGTTCCATGATTCATTGTTTGCATATAACACCCAGTGCTCCATGCAGAATGTGCCTCCCTTAATACCCATCACCAGGCTAACCCACCCCCCACCCCCCTCCCATCTAAAACCCTCAGTTTGTTTCTCAGAGTCCATAGTCTCTCATGGTTCGTCTCCCCCTCTGATTCCCCCCCCTTCATTTTTCCCTTCCTACTATCTTCTTTTTTTTTTTTAACATATAATGTATTATTTGTTTCAGAGGTACAGGTCTGTGATTCATCAGTCTTACACAATTAACAGCGCTCACCATAGCACATACCCTCCCCAATGTCTATCACCCAGCCGCCCCAGCCCTCCCACCCCCCACCACTCCAGCAACCCTCAGTTTGTTTCCCGAGATTAACAATTCCTCATATCAGTGAGATCACATGATACGTGTCTTTCTCTGATTGACTTATTTCGCTTAGCATAATACCCTCTAGTTCCATCTACATCGTTGCAAATGGCAAGATTTTTTTTTTTGATAGCTGCATAATATTCCATTGTATATATATACCACATCTTCTTTATCCATTCATCTGTTGATGGACATCTTGGTTCTTTCCATGGTTTGGCTATTGTGGATATTGCTGCTATAAACATTGGGGTGCATGTACCCCTTCGGATCACTAAATTTGTATCTTTGGGGTAAATACCCAGTGGTGCAATTGCTGGGTCATATAGCGTCCTATTGTAAATCGAGGGATATTTAGTTTCATTTTCCCCTCTTCATTTAAACTAGTAAAATTTATAGTGTTATTTCCTTTTATTGTGAGATAAAAGAATACACCAGTATTAGGTTATCTTATGTGGCATTTGGAGAATTAACTGGGTACTTTCTCATAAATGGCAAAGTTCTGCAGGTAAACTCATTTTCTTGTTACCACAAGTTGTAAGTGTAGAAGCTCCCTTATTTAATGAACATGGGTTTTCTTCCTACATTCAGATCTCTTAAATAATGCAGTGTGGTTGTTGAGAAGGAGGGCTCTGGGGTCAGTGCCTGGGTTTAGGTCCCTGCTTGGCCACAGTCCAGCTGTGGGACCTGCACAGTGGGTATAACCTCTCCAGTTTCTCATATGTAAAATGGGGTTAATAACCACACCTACCTTCTGGGGCTGCTGTGGGGACTGAATGAGCCATTGAAGAACTTAGAAGAGTTTCTCACAGAGTAAGCAACGATAAATGCTTGGTATTGTTATTATTGTGATATCATGTTTACAAAAACCTCTCCTTTTACCCTGAGTTATGCTAATACAACGAGGCATACTTTGGATACCAGAATTCTCTTTTGTATTACATGGTTGGCTGTTTCATCTCCCTCCCTCCTTCCCTCCCTCCCTCCCTTCCCCTTCTCCCTACTTTCCTAGATCCTCAGGACTGTGTCAGGGATTCATTTTGCTTCTCTCTCGTAGGTTGCACCCTGCTGTTCTATGAGACCTATGGGAAGAATTCCATGGATCAGAGCAGTGCCCCTCGGTGCGCACTGTTTGCACAAGACAGCATAGTGCAGTCTGTCCCAGAACATCCCAAGAAGGAAAACGTGTTCTGCCTCAGCAACTCCTTTGGAGATGTCTACCTTTTCCAGGTACTGCCGAGCTTTCTAGACAGAGGGTCAAGGCAGTACGAGGGACTCCAATCCCAAGGACGGAGTGTACTAGGAGGACGAGAAGGAACAGAATGAAGAGGCACAGCTTAGCAATGAAATAGGGTAAAAGCTTAGGTAGGCTTTGGTTGAGGCTTAAGCAAGAGAATTGGCCTCTGCTCACTGTCAGGTGCCACGGGGCCTGTGTTCATCCAGTCATTCATACAGCAAGCATTTCTTGGGACGCCCTTCAAGTGCCAAGCTGTGGCCCATGGGATGGTCTTGAGGATATGAAGAGAGAAAAATCGTGATCCTCGTTCTGGTGTAGCTCATGATCTAGTGGTGCAAGGTTTGAAATTCCCGGAGTGGAGGCTTTCAAGTGAAGCCTACAGAATATGACTAGGAGAGCTTTAGATTTTTCCCAAGAATCCCAGTGGGAGTGAAAAAAGAAGCTTTTCAGGAAAGCCTTATGGACAAATGCTGTAAGGTCTCGTTTTCCAGTGGAAGTGGCCTGAGGATGTTAAATTTCAAGTTATCTGCTGTTACGATTTTCAGCAGTTTTCTAGCAAATGCAACGTTGAAGAGCATGGTGGGATGCCAAGGTGTTGTTGTCAGCCTTGGGTGTGACATCCTGGTGCTGTCATTGGGCATGTACGCCATCTTGGAGGACTTAACTGCTCTGAGCGTTGGATCCTTCGGCCAGTAGGATAACAACAGCTTATAGGATCACTTGAAGGATTAATAATGTGCATGTGTTAAGTGATAAAGAAGTTCTAACTATTTCTGTAGTTAAGTGCTATTTCTGTGTGTTAAGTGCTAAAGGAATTCTAACTGTTCCTAACTATAACTATTGGTGCTGTTATTGATTAACTCAAAAGAGGTGGAAGTGAGGGAAGTGAAGTATGTTTCTGAAGTGCTTCCCAGTCTCAGTCCAGTGCTGCGTATAGACCCAGTTTGGGCTGCAGATTATATCTGACCAAAAAGGGTCATGGAAGCCCTCATAGGTCCTTGGTTCAGGTGCCTCGATGACATTGGTCCTGGATACTCCTGGTCTCAGGAGCCCTGTAGAACAACTTGGTGTTCTCTCTGCAGATTTTGGGAATCTAGAATTCTCTGCATAGGATTTCCTGTTGCTAGTACCAGGTAAACTGGCTGGGCTTCTAGCCTCATTGTTGTCCCCAACTTGACTTACAAGATTCAGGGCCTGAGATTTGATTTTCCTTCTCTTCACAGAAAGGTTGATTAGACTTTCTATGATGCTTTAAAGCCAAGTAATGAATTGCTGTTAATCTGAATTGTAGGGAAGGTAAGAACATTAGATTAAATCTGCATGGACTGGGGCGCCTGGGTGGCTCAGTCGGTTAAGCGGCTGCCTTCAGCTCAGGTCATGAGTCTTGGGATTGGAGTCCTGCATCCTGCTCTCTGCTCAGCAGGGAACCTGCTTCTCCCTCTCCCTCTGCCACTCCCCCTGCTTGTGCTCTCTCACTCCCTCAAATAAAATCTTTTTTAAAAAAAATTAAAAATCTGCATGGACTTCTCAGGGGCAAGTGTGAAATGAGTATTTTGTGATTCAGGCAAAATATCCCTAATTCTAAGAAATTTTCCCAGTAGGTCCTATTGTATGATCCCAGAGATCATTGAAGGATCAACCCATAGCTTGAACGTGTGTGTTTTTTTCTGGACATCAGGGGAGTGGAATCATAATAATTTGCTAAGAATCATAATTGCCCATTGTACTTTATTCAAACTTGCTTTATTTTTAAGATCTTTTCTTATGTGAAAATTGCATATAGTCCTTGTGTCTGAAGTTAACTGAAGAGCAGAGAAAGAAGAACCCTTATGTATATTCCCAGTGCTTAAAGACAACTGTTTTAATGCTGTGTACATCCCCACAAATGCTTTTATTCATTTCATAATTTAGTTCATACTGTCGATGAAATTTCATATCCAGGTTTCAGAGTTTAACTTTTTAAGCCCTAATATTTTTCTCACCCTATTAAAATTATGAAGATAAGCACCTTTTAGAGCACAGCATCGTGTGAAGACACTGAGCTAAGTGACCATTCCCTGGTGTTTGGATTACTCCTCTGCTCTTGGCTCATGGCTTGTTTGTAGTTTGTCGTCCTGTCCTAGTTGGAGCTACATGATTATTTCTGCTGTGCTCTGGGCATTGTCTCAGACCCTCCGGAGTCAAGGAAGCCAGCGAACCTGAGCTGAGTGGTTGTGTGTTTTTTTGAAATTAAACAGTTTTTATGAGGTGAAGGTACTTCTTGAGTTTTACACATCAAAGCCCAGCCTCCCACTCTGTACAGTACTTTGTGGTAAAACAATTCCAAATAGGTTTTTTCCACCCCCCCCCCCCCCCGTGTTTAGGCCACTAGCCAGACAGATCTGGAAAATTGGGTCACTGCCATACATTCAGCTTGCGCATCCCTTTTTGCAAAGAAGCATGGGAAAGAGGACACGGTTCGGCTCCTGAAGAACCAGACCAAGAACCTCGTTCAGAAGATAGATATGGACAGCAAGATGAAAAAGATGGCAGAGTTACAGCTGTCCATCGTGAGTGACCCGAAGAATAGGAAGGCCATAGAAAACCAGGTACTACTTATTTGTGTGTTGTCTTTCATTGCTCATGTCACTCGCAGCAAAAATCTGAGTTTGAATGCAAATGGTCGCGATGTTTCTTTATACCCCTCTGGGGAAGACCGTTTCTGTGGCTTCTTGTTTCAGGAACTTAATGGCAGCACTTTTGTGACATCGATGATGTAATAGGCTTTATTTACAACCTTTGGTTGTTCTATATATCCAAAGGAATATTTTGTGACCAAGTCGTTTTTCGTGATATTGATTAGTTCCTTCTTGCCTGGCTGATTCTCTCATATATTGTCCCTTTCAGACCAAAATTTTTATTATAAAACCACTAGAAGATTAGACAGAGAGGATTCTAATACAGAGGGTGGCTTTGGGAAGTACGGTTTGGTGTGAAACAACTATTCCCATCTATGGATTCCAAAAAAAAACGGTATATATTTTTTTCTGTTTATAACAGGTAAGGTGCTAAGGAGAATGCTTTCTCTGGTCTAGTTCCACATTCATATCAGAATTAAATACCTCGTTTCTGTGCTTTTGCATTTTGGAGGAGGAGACGCAGCTTTTAAATATCTGTTTTCCTTTGCTCATGCACCCTAAGCCCTTAGGCATGTGGCTGTGAAAGTTTTAGCATCTCTCTTCCTAAATGCGGGATGAATGTCATCTCTTTAGAAGATTAATCAGGCAGTGGCTTGGAGGACAGGTGGACACAGAGCCATTAGTTGGTGGGATGGCACTGGTCTGCATGTGGGGTTACCAGGGCCTGGTGCAGAGGGACCCTACCGAAGTTTCACAATTTATACGGAAAATGTATTTCAGAGTATATAATTTCTATCATTCTGTAGAATCTCCGAGTATCCTACACTCCTGAATTGAACTGTTCTCAAACAGAATGTGCCCTTTATCTAAAGAGTACCTGCTAGCAAACTATGAACTACCAATTAACAAGGATCTGAGAAGGGAGTTGTCAGGCAGAAGGTGGGGAGGTGGCAGGTCTTGGGGAGTTTGGCAGGAACACCACTGTGGAGGGAGTGCAGCCCCCAGGAGCTCACCCTGCGTTCTCTCTGCCATCCCCCTACTCCTGACTGAGCAGCCTCCCCTGCTCATGTTGGGGAAGAGCTAGGTGCCGAGGCCGGTCCCCATCACCCGGCTTTCGGTCTGTGTGGCGTGGAGAGATGTGATGCTATGTCAAGTTTACCTGGCAAACCAGAAAGCTTGCGGAGGAGAAATGGTTATCCCAGTTTTCCGTGTACCGCGGCTCATGTGTGGTCCTGAATTTCTAGGATCCAGGAGCCGTGATAGTCTGTCTGTCCTCAGAGGGTGAAACTTGTGGATTCACGTGTCTCAGAGTGTTCATGGTGCGCCAATAAAACAATCTCGGGGTGATCATATGGGAGGAAATGTAGTTTTAACTTCTATTGGCTCTCTCATATTTACCTTTAAAGCCATACTTTCGTCCTCTGAAGGGGTGTCCCCCTTGGAGTCTTTAGGTCCTTACTAGTTCCAGGGAGAGAAAAGGGAAATCAGGCAACATTCAGAGGCTCCTGGCCTGCCCTCCCACCTCCACCCCTTTTGCTTTCCTTTTCCTTTTTATGGCAACAGGAAGTTCAAGCAGACTTCAAAAAAATACGCATTTTCATTAAATGTAATTTTATTCCGTTAAATGCAGTTTCATTAAGTGTATTTTATAGTTGACAGATGAGTAATTAGTGATGTCTGTGGGGGGGGAGTTCCTTTCACATAAACTGAACGCATATCCAAGAGTCGCTGATGGTTGGATGGCCTGAAGGGAAGCCCTTTGAATTACTACTTGCAGTACATTATGCATTCTTTGTCAGAATCCTTAGTTATTTTAGGCATACTGTCCTGATACGACTGAAGTTTCATTTCCGTTCTCCCTGCCTGACCCCTCCCTCCTTCCCTGGCTCCCCCTTGTCCCTATGTACCCAGCTACCTTCTCATGTTGCGCTTGCACATTTCTGAGAAGGAACAGTCGGGATTGATCTTTAGAAATTCCACCTGGGGACGCCTGGGTGGCTCAGTCGGTTGAGCGACTGCCTTTGGCTCAGGTCGTGATCCTGGAGTCCCGGGATCGAGTCCCGCCTCGGGCTCCCTGCTCGGCAGGGAGTCTGCTTCTCCCTCTGACCCTCCCCCCTCTCATGCTCTCTCTCTCTCATTCTCTCTCTCAAATAAATAAATAAATAATATTAAAAAAAATGCAAAAAAAAAAATTCCACCTGAAAATACTCTCCTCACCATATTGGCAGTTTTTTTTTTTTTTTTTTAATGATTTTATTTATTTGAGAGACACAGAGAGCGAGCAGTGGGGAGGGGCAGAAGGAGAGAGAGAGAGAGAGAGAGAGAGAAGCAGACTCCCTACTGAGCAGGGAGCCTGACACAGGGCTCGATCCCAGGACCCGGGGATCACCTGAGCTGAAGGCAGACGACGCTTAACCGACTGAGCCACCCAGGCGCCCCCATATAGGCGGTTCTTAGGGTTGTCTTTGGGTCCTGTTTTCCCAGAGGTCTTTGTGGTGGGTGCCACAAATTATATTTGCTATGCTCAGTATCCTACGCTGATCTGCCCGCTGGTTGTGAAGAGGGCTGTTAGCTCCCGACTTGCAGGCGCAGAGAGTATGAAACGTAAAGGGGATAAAAAAGCACATGCTTAGATTTATTTTTATGAGATGATCTTTGACTAGAGAATGTTGGGCAAAGCTACAAAGGCAAAGGTATTTTCAAATCAAGACCAGTAAGAACACGATCTCTTGAATATCCCATAACTGTATAGTTTTCTCTAAACTACCTTTTAAAAACTTCGTCAAAAGAGCAGTCGTGCTTTCTCCGCTTACCACTTAAAACTCGCAACGTCACTCTATTTTATTTTACATAAAAAAATATTTATGTAGCGCTTTCCCCCCGGAGACCCCAAGAACCGCAGAGAGAGTCCTTTATAGCCTAGTAAGAGCAGAACTTACAGAGTCCATTACATCATGCGTGATAAAGTCCCTGGAACAGATTTTCTTTGAAGTGCTTGGGTGAAGAAGATCATTGTATGCACCCTTTCCAAATAAAAAGATAAAATGACACTCGGCTAGTAATGGTGGCTGAGCTTCATAGCGTGGCGTGGTACCGTGCTCTGCTTGAAAGAGACCGTCCCATGGGCTTGTCCCAGGGCCTTTTGGAGATTCTGGGGGGCAGGCAGGATGACGCAGTTTTCGTTTGAGCAAATCCAATGTGGAGCAGACCGTGCAGCCAACCACATGCTGGATTCCTTTTGAAGTTCTGAGGGAGGAAGGGCTGTAAATTAAGTCCAGTTAGTACTTTATTTTCCTTCCCGTTTATTATTTTAAACAAGTAAACAGGGACAAAACGTCACCGCTCTTCGGTGGTCTTGCCCCCCCCCCCCCCCAGATGGCTTCCCCGCATCCTGATGCGTTCTGTGTGTTCCTCACCCCCCCCACACCCCCGGTGGTTCGTGAGGCCCGGGTCGAGGAGGCAGTCAGAATGAGGCAGAGGATGTAGTGGAAGCAGCAGGCTGGGGCCATGGGCTCGGGGCTGCCTCAGGGCTTCGTGAAACGTGGGCTTCATTTTAAATATTTAAAGTTTCAAACTGGTAAAGAGGATGGATTGAATCTAGGCAATTGGACACTGTGGTGGGGGGCAGGGGAACAAAGTGAACGAAGCCTTGAGGAAAATACGATATGGGGTGTGAGTGTGGGAAGCCATTTGGGGAATAAAACATTGGAGAGAGGGCGGTGTTGGTGAAAGGGGTCTGAGGCGATGGGTCCGGGCATTCCGTTTAGCTCAGTGAACATTTAGTAAGTGCCCGTCTGGTCCAGGCAAGTGTGGACACACTGGGGATTCAAAGAAGATGCTGTTGTGCCCTTGGGGCTCTCAGTCTAGCAGGGTGCCAGTCAGTGAAGCATATCATTGCAACATAATTTAGTGAATCCAGAGCAAATGATATTCCAGAGTGTTGTGGAAGACAAAACGGGAAGTTTGGCTTCCTGTGTAGTCGTGGAAGACTTCCTGCAGGAGGGCTGCCTGGATTGCTTCTTGAAGAGCGAGGAGTGAATCAGGAGAGTAATGGAGAAGGGAATGCCAGGCCAAAGGTCCGCGTGAAACACCGTAGTGCCGCCTGGCAGCTTGATTTTTCAGGCACACGGTGTGCGGGTGAGAGAGGGAGGACACATCGGGCTGTCTTCTCCCTTCCCTGGACCGCTGCAAAAGCTGTCCTGTTTTTCCCTTCCTCAGATGCGTCTTCTATACGAAGTCAGAGTGTATGTATCTATAAAGCAGATCTGATCCTGTGATTGCCCTGTTTATTTATTTATTTTTAAAGATTTTATTTATTTATTTGACAGAGAGAGACACAGCGAGAGAGGGAACACAAGCAGGGGGAGTGGGAGAGGGAGAAGCAGGCTTCCCGCCGAGCAGGGAGCCCAATGGGGGCTCGATCCCAGGACCCTGGGATCATGACCTGAGCCGAAGGCAGACGCTTAACGACTGAGCCACCCAGGCGCCCCATGATTGCCCTGTTTAAAAATCCTTTAAGTGGCTTCTACTGCTTGTAAGATAAAAGCCCCTGACCCTCTCCTACCTTTATCTAGAAGTGCCAAATTTCCCTCCGGTTCCACCCCTTTCTTTGGGTTTTTTCTTCAGGCTGAGAAGTCCCATTTGGGCCCCACGTCATGTACAGACATGCCAGGTACCCCCTGGCCTTCACTGGGCTCATCCCTCCTCATCCGTGATGAACGGTTTAGGGGTTACTTCCTCCAGGGAGCTGACCTTGACGTCCCTCCTGCCCACTCCCGCAGGGACCTCTTTATACCCCCTAATTCTTGGGGTCTCTATCACTGCCCTCAGCTCATTGTTTTCTAATGATCCCCTTGTGTCTAAGGCTGCTCCTCGTCTGAAATATGAGCTCCTAAAGGATCTGTAACTTTTCCATTTCTGTATCCCCGGTGCTTTGCCTGAAGTAGTGTGGGAGTGGACCTGTGTCTCCC